ACATATTTATAATCCCATTACATAACACTAGAAGCCGGGGCGCACAAAATCCATGCACTTGGGAGGTAGGCTCCCGCCATCAATGCTGCACTCACCAGCCATGAGCCCAGCTTCTGGCTGAGCTACACTCTCCCCATGGGAGCGCACTGACCACCAGGGGACAGCTCCTACATTAAGCATCTGCTCCCTGATGGTCAATGTGTGTAATAGTGACCAGTTGTTCTGCCAGTTGGTCAATTTGCATATTAGGGTTTTATTATATAGGATACTTAGAGTGACTTGGTAATGTTATAAAGTTTCTTTTGGAGGTTATGAAAATATTCAAAAATTGATAGTGGTGTCCTAGCTAGTTTGGCTCAGTGGATAGAGTTCAGCCCTCGTACTGAGGGATCCCAGGTTCAATACATGTACCTCAGTTATAGGCTCAATTCCTGGCACTGGTCAGACACATGTAGGAGAAAACCAGTTAGATGTCTCTCTTCCACACCTATCTTTCTCTCTCCTTCCCTCCACTCTCTCTAAAAATCAATAGAAAAATATTCTCGGGCCCTAACCGGTTTGGCTCAGTGAACAGAACATCTGTGGGTCCTGAGTTCAGTTCTGATCAAGGGCATGTACCTTAGTCTTAGGCTCATGCCCAGTGAGGGACATGTGGGAGGCAGCTGACCGTTGTTTCTCCCTCATTGATGTTTCTTCTAACTCTCTATCCTTCTCCCTTCCTCTCTGTAAAATAAATAAAATATATTTTTTTAAAAGAAAAAGAGCCAAGACCGGTTTGGCTCAGTGGATAGAGCGTCAGCCTGCGGACTGAGAGGTCCCGGGTTCCATTCCGGACAAGGGCATGTATCTTGGTTGAAGGCACATCCCCAGTAGGGGGTGTGCAAGAGGCAGCTGATCAATAATTCTCTCTCATTGATGTTTCTAACTCTGTCCCTCTCTCTTTCTTTCTGTAAAAAAATCAATAAAATATACTTTGAAAAAAATAAAAATAAAAATATCCTTGGGTGAGGATTAACAACAAAGAAAAGTTGACAGTGGTAATTGCTAAAGAACTCTAAATAATCACTGAAAAGTGCCCTTTAAATGATATATATGGTATGTAAGTTATGTTTCAAAGTTAGACTTTTTAAAATGTTTTTATTGATTTCAGAGAGAGGGAGAGGGAAACATGAATGAGAATCATTCGGCTGCCTCCTGCACTCTCCCACCTGAGGATAAGAGTCCACAAACCCGGCATATGCCCTGACCAGGAATCAAACAGTGAGTGACCTACTGGTTTATGGATCTATGCTCAACTACTCACCAGCCAGGCTCAAAGTTATTTTTAAAATTACCTATAGGTACATTTTCAAATACTGTAGATTAGCCAGGACCGGTTTGGCTCAGTGGATAGAGCGTCGGTCTGAGGACTGAAAGGTCCCGGGTTCGATTCTGGTCGAGGGCGTGTACCTTGGTTGCGGGCACATCCCCAGTGGGGGGTGTGCAAGAGGCAGCTGATCGATGATTCTCTCTCATCGATGTTTCTGACTCTCTGTCCCTCTCAATTCCTCTCTGTGTAAAATCAATAAAATATATTTAAAAAAAAAAAAAAAAAAAAAACAAACCAAATACTGTAGATTAAAAGTTGTCATTCTCCATCTGTGAATTAAGTTAAATTCAATTCTAAAGATTTGTACTTCCCAGAAAGTGTGATTTTAATAGCAGCCTAATATAAGTAGAGCTATTGATCAAATCTGTTAAATTTCTACACTCAAATTCAAGTCCTGCCGAAACTAGTTTGGCTCAGTGGTAGAGCGTCCGTCTGCGGACTGAAAGGTCCAGGATTCGATTCCGGTCAAGGGCATGTACCTGGTTGCGGGCACATCCCCGGTAGGGGGTGTGCAAGAGGCAGCTGGTCGATGTTTCTCTCTCATCGACGTTTCTAGCTCTCTCTCTCCCTTCCTCTCTGTAAAAAAATAAAACATATATATAAAAATATATATATAACAAATTCAAGTCCTTACCTCTCAAGGATAATTCCAAAATGATAACCGAACAGATCAGGAGCTGAGAAGCAGTAGTAACAACTGCTAGGAGATTGAGCAATAGAAATAATTAATGTAAAATATTCTTAAAATCTTGAGGTATAAGTTCTGATTGTACCTGAGTCAATCTGTACTTGAGAACTTATAAAGAACTTATAATAAAAAATAATAGAAAGAATTTCTCCATATTTATGGGCATACCTTTGATAGCATTTCAGACTAGCTTTGAACTATGAAGAGGTACTGAATGCTCATCAAATGAAAAAAATGCCCTTTTATAAGAATTGCTTAACTGCATCGCAGACAATGGAATTCTGACCTGGTTCAGTAAATAAAAAAGGGCTTTAACCTAGAGATGAGACACTAATCTAAGGATCAGACATAAAAGCTCTTCAGCCTCAGATGCCCTCTCTCAAGTGGGATCCCACAACATGCTTAAGTTAGCTCATTATATTTTGCCCATTAATATAATAATTAAAACTGTCATTCAGATATCTTAAGAATTTTCTACTCAACCCTGTCTACATTCAATTCTAGATAACCCTCTATGACCATTAATAACTTAGCAGTGAACCAGTGTATTCAAAATTATACTCCCTTTTAAAAAGGGCAAATATAGCCGGGACCGGTTTGGCTCAGTGGATAGACTGTCGGCTTGGGGACTGAAGGGTCCCAGGTTCGATTCCTGTCAAGGGCATGTACCTTGGTCTCGGGCATGTCCCCAGTGGGGGGTGTGCAAGAGGCAGCTGATCGACGATGTTTCTAACTCTCTATCTCTCTCCCTTCCTCTCTGTACAAAATCAATAAAAATATATTTTTTTTAAAAAAAGGGCAAATATAATTTAGAGAAACTTTTTTTTTAATCTTACCTTCCCATTGAAAGCATTTTATCACTTTCAGAGAAGCTCACAACCAAAAACCACAAGTCCCTTTAAGACTTATTTCAGCTCTAGCGGGTATGGCTCAGTAGATAGAGCATCAGCCTAGAGGCATGTGCCCTGACCAGGAATAAAACTATGACCTCCTGGTTCATAGGTGTGCCCTCAACCACTGAGCCACTCCAGCCAGACTGATTAGCTATACTTAACTATTCAAAAAAGGCAAATTCAGAAACAGTTTACCTGGGAGGATTTAAAATACCCAAAGTAGTTACCTCTCAAAAGGGAGATTAAGATCTAAGTAATAGTCTAATGAGATCTCCTACAAACAGCCCCAGATAAAAAAAAGTCATTTTCTAGTTAACAGAGAAACCAAAATTAAAGGAAAACGTCCTGCAGAGAGGAAGCAAACAGCACAGAATCACTGAGCAAATGACTTGGAAAACTGAATACCCAATTCATAAAGAAAATGGGAATAGTACTAAGAAGTGGAAAAACCATAGCAGAGAGTAAACTGGAAAATATGGAATGAGAAACCTGGAGGAAAAGTCTTACTGTGAGATGAGACAGTCACCTCAAATCTTAAAATATTAACAGAAAATGTCACAGAAATGGAACCTCCAAACTGCCAACTAACCCAAACCCCATTATGTAAATATTTTCCTTTTGAAACTATATCCAGGTATTTCTAACAGACAATTACATTTACCAAGTACTCTGTAAGCTCAATACTCTGCACCACAAGTGAAATATAAACATATACTTCAGATGATAAACATCCATTATCTTGAAAAAATTCATCCTACAGATTCTTTCCACCAAGGCACAAGTGTTGTAACCTTTCTGGGCCTCAACTTCTGAGCTATAAAAGGTGGGAGCCCAACAAGATGAGATGAACTATAGGATCCCCTCCATTCTTGAAATTTATACCTAATGATAGAACTGATTCAAGGCAACTGTACGTATATCTGAGTCTGAGAACAAACCTTGAAGTTTATACTGTCATTCCAAAGCTAACCACAGGGAGGAGCGAGGGATTTGAAGAAATTCCCAAGGGAACGGTAGTTGGCTGTTACCTAAAGCCCACCTAGGAAGTGGATAAACCCTCAAACCCAGACATAATTAAGAGAATTTCCCTAACCCTTCTGCCTAGATCTCACAATACTCCTCAACAAAGACACATCTTACACAGGACTTTCTCCCTTCTTTTCCTAGTTTTCTCTGCTCTCTTTTGCAGTTTCAAATCCATTTTACCCAATAGTATACTCTTTTTTCATCCAGACTTTTCCCCCTTTTATCCAGAGTAAAGTTTTCTAGAAAAGAATGTCAGTTCTCTGAAGGTTAAAACAAAACAAAACAAAACAAAAAATATTAACGAAATTACTGAAAACCAAGGAGACTATAAACACAGGCAAATGACAATTAAGTTTTGCAAAACCCCAAATGAAAAAAAAAAAAATCATCAAGCATACTGTTTAAAAAGGAATACTACTGATTGACATAATTCAAGTTTTCCAAAGGCCTTGAAGAGAACACAGACAATTCTTGGAGGTCGGGTTGAGCCTCTGAAATTAACATGCGGTTAAGAACTCGAAACAGAGTATTTGCCGGGGCTTCCTTTCCCTGTCAAACTCTTCGCCCAAAAAGGCCTCTCACATATTTAACATCAAAAAATATATATATTTTTTAAATTAAGTGCAGTCATTCACATCTATTTGCCTCTTCCTCGCAAAAGTAAATGAATGGCCGCTCCTTTCCTCTTCACTCCCACGCTAACCCTCACACCGTTCACAAGCCCGGAGAGCCGTGCTGGCACCAGAGGAAGGCGCGAAGGCTCGGGGAGAGGGCGGTCAGCGTCGGAAGGTGCCTCCCTCCACATGGCAGAGCCCTGGCCGCCGAGCACGGCCCCCCCCCCCCCCCCCCGGCATCGGCAGCTCCCTCCCGCTCTCGATGCCGACCCCCCAGAACTGCCACCGGGGAGCCAGGCAGGCTCTCGATTCAGACCCGTCCCCGGGGACGACCCCATTCCCTCCCCCCCTTTTTTCTCCATCGAGTTCCCGCCCTCCAGCCACCAGTCTCTGGGCCCCTCCGGCCTCACCTCCATGGAGACTCGCCAGCCCTGCATGGCGGAGAAGCCGTAGGGCAGCGGCAGGCGCGGCGCGCCGGCCCCGTCCCCGGAGCACTTCACCGTGTTGGGCTGGGAAAGGTAGGCGCCCATGGCGGCGGCGGCGGCGGGCCAGTGGCCTCAGGGGCAGGCGAACGGAGCGCGCGCGACCCGTGCCGCGCCGGAGCCAGGAGCCCCCCTGGGGCGCGCGTGGCAGGAGCGGCCGGCGGCGCAGCAGCGACGCAAGGTGCCGGTGAAGGCGCGAGGCCGGCCAGGAGGCGGTAACGGGACTGCCGGGGAGAGGGAGCGGAAGCGGAAACGGCGCCGCTCCAGACCCCGCCCGGCCGGCGCGGCGCGGCGGCGCAGCCGACAGTCATTTCCTTAGCAACTCGCCCCGCCCTCGAGGACAACGGCCCGCCCAACCGCCGCTCCCGCGAGATTGGCGCGGCCACGCCCACCAACGGCCGCGATCCCCGGAGAAGGGAGGGGCGGGGTGGGGAGGGACGTCACGCGTACCTGGTCCTCGCTGTCCCTCTTCTTGGCTCTCCCACCTGGCCTTCCTCGTGTTTCTCTGGCGCTCGTTTGTGCGGGGCCCGGTGCTCCCAGTCCGCCCTGCAGTGTGTCGGCCCCTTTCTCCCCGCTGCGCCCTCAGACCCGCTAACCCCGCCGAAATCGGTTCCGTTTAGTTCTGAGCGCAGAAAGCACCTGGCCGGGCTTTTAGGAGGTTTGTGTGAGTAGCGTGTGAGAGAGGCTTTTCTGACCAAAGGAAATAAAGACCTCATCTACGACATGCAGCGAGTTAACACGGTGCAGAAACGGCCGGCACATTTTGTGCTGGGAGAGAAGAAACCCGAGGAGAGGAGCACGCGCTGGGGCTGGCGCCCTCGGGATGCCTGGGAGAGCGTTATGCCAGGGGTGGGGGTGGGGGGATGATGGGAGGAGGTCTCAGGGATGGGAAAGACAGTAAACTGTACTTGGAAAGTTGTTTGAGGAAGCTGGCCAGCCTCGTTAGAAAGTGATTTTTAAGGAGTGATATTAGATAGGCTGGAGGTGGTAGCCTGCAGGTGCCAAGACACGTGACTTGGACTTCACTGTCATCGGGTATAGCGTTTCAGGGCTCTTAGTCTCTCCGTGTGTGCAGTGTAGGTCGGGGACAGAAAGTCTTGGGGAATAACTGGTGAAGGGACTTTCATCTAAGCCCGAGGTGACAAGGGCTGGGACCAGGGTGGTGGCAGTGGGAATAAAGATGAAGGAACAAATTAGACCATAAGAAATCGACAGGATTTAGCAATAGGTTGGATTCAGGGAAAGGGAAAAATTTCTCCAAACCATGAGCAGTTTGCTTCTTTTGAAACAGAAAACGAATGGCTCCCTCCTGCCTCTTCAGAGACCTCCAAATTCCTTCACACAGTTTACCAGACTCTTCATGCTGGAACCAAATTCTAGCATCTCTTCCACTTCGCAATTCCACTGCAACGCAGGCCTTCAGCCATGTCTCTCTGGGTTCCTCGGAAGCCCTGCTTTCTCTTTCTGTGCTTTTAGTCACAGAGCAAACCTCCTCACCCACCTGTAGCATCACTTCCTCCAGGAAGTCTCCAATCTCCCTACTCTAGTCTGGGTCTCCACTGGTCTTTCCTGGCAGACAATAAGCCTTCATGAGGGCAGAAATACCATCAAACTTGTATACCTCAGCACCCTGAGCACATTTCTTTTATGTGCTCAACAGTGTTTAAATATTTGTTGAATGTATGAACAGAAAGGTTTTGACCCTGAATATGACAAAAATGGGTGGAGCCATTAACTGAAAATGGAGTGTTGGTGGGAGGGTGCTAGTTTGGGGAGAAAAAAAGGGGGTTCAGTTTAAGGTGACAACTGGATATACAAACATTGAAAACACTGGATTGAAGTTAGACTATGAGGGTAGAGGAAGATGTTAATTAGGCCTGTAGTGACTTACATGAGATCTCTGACAAAGACAGTGTAAAGACAATACCAGTTATTGTTTTTTTCTAAGAATGAAAAAAGCATGAGTTTTGACATATATTACCTATGAGGTCTTTCACAAGTTACTTATTCTCTCTCAGGTTCAGTTCCTCATCTATAAAACACTACTTTTCCAGATTGCTTTAAGGATAAGAGGAGCTGAATATAAAGTTTGAAGTTTGCATTATTGTATTATTATTCAACCAAAATATGGCCATGTATTAAGTATTCATAAACACATACTGTAGTAAATAAGAGAGAGGAATAACATTAAATTATGCAATTATGTTCACACAAAAATGGGCGATTGTCTGAAACAAAGTGGAAGAAAAATAGACAAGGAAAAAAGTGGAAAAGAAAACATGACTGTAGGAAAAAATGAGGTACTTGGTGGGTAGTGGTGCTCAGAGAATGGAAATGACGATACTAAAAGGGCTTGTGGAAAGAGATGGGAAAAGAGACAAGAATATGAAGATTATCCTCAGTCCAACCCCATTTCCCCCCAAAAAAACATTACAGTACACTTTCAAGGACACAAAGTTTTCATGCTTTGGTAGGGAGCAAAACCAATTTTCTTTGAAAAACCCAAACACCATCATACTCACAGATTGATTTCTCCTGATTCCATCTTTATGAGTTTCAAAATCTGATTAATGGAACACAGTGAAAGAAGCAGCTCCCAAACATATACTTTAGGGACTGCCTTGAATGAAAAAAAGGGTCTGTAAAATATACACCACGTTTATTCCACAGCAAGGAATATAAAGGCATGGGATTGGTTTGGTGTGATAGACAATAAAATAATTCTGAGAATTTGTTATATATTTAAACAAATCACTAGGTTGCTTATATTGTCTTTCAATTGGTCAAACATTTAAGATAAACTGAAAAACACTAGATATTTTAAAAACCTTTTTTGTCGAAGGCCAGTAGCCTATTTGTCCAAAAGACTTGATTAAAAAAACAAAAACCTTTTTTGTCTTTTTCTATTAGCTACTCATGAGCCTCTTTCCAGTTACCTTTCATATGAGAAAGAAAAGAGAAGGTGGTGTAAGCCAGTGTTTTTTCAAACATGAGAAATTGTGACCCACTGAGACACCCCTGCCAGCCCCAAGGGATTCATGAGAGTCCGGGGAACATTGCCTTTAAAATTACATGCTAACTTTTTTTTTTTTGGGGGGGGGGGCATGATATGTACACAGATAATTTAATTTTTTAAAAATTAAAAAAATAAAATTACGTGCTAACTTCAGAGTATAATGTGACAACCATTCAATTGTAAACTTAAACATAAGATCACTCAAAAATATAAGGTGCTAATATAGATAATCTAAAATATGCTAATATGCTTATATGACTTAAAGCACAAAGTTTTAAAATTCTCATAGAAGCCTCATAGTGCCTTGGAAATTCAAGACGCCCAAAAGATAACAGACCACAGATTGAGAAACTCAGCCTTCATATGGAAGATGCTAAGTGAGGAGAGAATGAGAAAAGAGAAGTTGGAAAATAGGTCCTCCCAGACTTCCCCCCCATTAACCCAGACTTTTCCTAGGGTTCCTAATTCTGTTTTTGACCCTTCATATACTTCCTTCACATCCTGTTTCTGATGACATTATACTAGTCATAAAATATTGCCTTGCCAGAATTGGTTTGGCTCAGTGGATAGAGTGTCGACCTGAGGACTGAAGGGTCCTAGGTTCGATTCTGGTCAGGGCCATGTGCCTTGGTTGCGGGTACATCCCCAGTGGGGGTGTGCAAGAGGCAGCTGATCAATGATTCTGTCTCATCGATGTTTCTGACTCTCTATCCCTCTCTCTTCCTCTCTGTGAAAAATCAATAAAATATACTTAAAATATATACTATATATATTGCCTTGGAAGCACAGCAGTTTTGATGCTATATATCTTCCTATATGTGATTAAAGGTGAAAAATCAGTCCAGGGAGTGGGGGCAAACTGTGGGGACAAGATTTAGGGTTAAGAGAAAAGGAATACAGATATTTTGAAGTTACCAGAAGAGAAAGGGCAAAGAGTCCATTTCTGAAGTTCTGGACTAGGCCATATACATTTTAAGTTTTCATTAAATGAAACTTTTTTAAAAAATCAGTTGCTGTTTTGTATCTTTAGAAGGCAAGACATAAATTCATTTTTAAGCAGTCTTTTTCTGAAGGATATCACCAGAATGGACTGTCTAATCATACATAAAATAGTCATTTTTATCCTAAAGATAATTGTGAAATGACCATTAATAAAAATTCAGATGTTTCAGACTGAGTTGCTGGAGTAAATTTATGTATTAGTAATATAAATTATGTCTTTCACAGAAATGTGGTCTTGAAGGAAAAGAGAGATCATTTCTTTCCCTTAAATGAGAATATAAGACTGGAATGTTTCTTAAAATCCTTGTTTTTTAGGAAAACCTATGTATGTTTTTATCCAAGTGTTTTCTCAAAGGTGTTCACAAAACTGAAGCCACCCTCAAGAGTGAATGCCAACCTTATCTTCACTCCTCACATAAGTCCACAGACTAGCTTGAATCACTGGCATGTCACAAAGCAGTGTCATATAAAAGCCAAATTATCCCAAGTCTGGAAAGTACCAGTAACTCCTGGGATTGCATCGAGCAAGCCAAAGCGAAGGTGAGTTTTCCCCTCTAAGAAAAAGGTAGTCCCTCAGTCGGATACTCTGGGTAGAAATATGCTAATATGCTTATTTCAAATGGAAAAGAAATAATCCCTTTGGTCTCCTGCCAGCATTAAGATTCCAAGATATGGCAGTCTAGAGATTCCTGTTGAGGAAAGTGGGCAGGCTGAGCTGGTTCTGCCTTATCAGGAAGCTGAAGTATGGTCACGTCTTGTGGCAGTTGTGGACTACTCTTAGTTTTTTAAGTCTGTGCCTTTGTGTCCTGTTAAATGGCCTGGACTGCCGAAACCGGTTTGGCTCAGTGGATAGAGCGTCGGCCTGTGGACTGAAAGGTCACGGGTTTGATTCCGGTCAAGGGCATGTTACCTTGGTTGCAGGCACATCCCCAGTGGGGAGTGTGCAAGAGGCAGCTGATGTTTCTATCTCATCAATGTTTCTAACTCTCTATCCCTTTCTCTTCCTCTCTGTAAAAAATCAATAAAATAT